GTGCTGAGTTCTTCACAGAAAAATGCTTTAGAAATAAGGTCGGCAGACATGAAAGGACACACATATGAAGACGCTGTTATAATCCTGACACAGTCCTCATAATATCTAGTTAAGGAAGATATTTCTTGTTAAATAGGTTATTTTGTATTTGGTTGATACACTGCAGAGGAAACATACTTTTTCAGTATCTCTAAGATATATTTAAAGGGGTCATAGAATGATTCTATAGGGTATCTGGTCCTTCAGGTCTCTGAATAGGGTGTTTAACATTGGTTGGGCTGACAATGGTATATTTGCTGTTATATGAGCTCTAATGCAGCCTGGTTAAAAACCCTAGAATTGTCATGATGGGATTAAGGTTCCTAACCCACATGCAGAACACACGGAGTCAGACGAAAAGTTTGACTGTTTATTGAGAAAAACACAGAGTTAATGAACTTGATTCTGGGAAACAGATCCGGGGGCTGGTCACACAGGGTTCTCTGCAGAGAGGGATAGTTAGGTTAGCCAGGGTGCAGTTGATCTTGTCAGAGGAGTTGTGCAGGTCTGTACCTGTAATGTGGTTCAGGCTGAGCTGCAGAGGGAGGGAACCAGGAGGGTCCAGAGGCAGATGGTCAGCAGAGGGCTAGACAACGGCAGGGCTCGACTTCAGACTTGTCAGTGTTCAGGTTCTGGGTTTCTTCCAGTTCTCTTCTTGAGACCGGGCAGGCAGGTTCAGATAGTTTGATCTACAGAAGCGCTTCTGAGAGCAGGCAGGCAGGTTTCAGCTGAGAAACTCTTCCAGAGTTCCAGGGTTCAGTCAGGTTCTTCCTAGGAAGCAGAGAGGACAAAAAACGGTTAGGTTCAAATTCAGGTTTTCAGGGGAGTCAGAGAATCAGACAGGCTGGTTGGCTCAGGCTTGCTAAACGTAACTGGCTTAACACTCTGGCACTGGAGTATTGTCCTGCCGCTGCTTAAATGCTGGTCTCCTGATGAGCCAATGAGCCGCAGGTGTGGTCGTCAGCTTCAGCTCCAGCTGCAGGAGACCTAGGGCGCCCTCTGCTGGAGAAAGGTGGACAGACCTCCAGATCCCAACAAGAATGAAACGACAGGTTTTCTTTCTTTTATGGTATGCTCAGGAATATTTAGACGAGCTGTGCCCTGATTGGTTGGTTTACAACGAGCCAAGCTGCTGAGTAAAGATACGTCATAGCAACAAGCACTCACTAATTGAAACATCAAATTGTTGATATGGTATGGTGACCAGACGTCCTCTTTCCGCGGACATGTCCTACTTTTCAGACCTAAAAAAATATCTGGGGGGAATTTCAAAATCGTCCAA